GATAATTGAAATGACAGATCATTTGTCATTTGTCATTTGAGTCATTTGCCAGTCATAATCATTTGGCAAACACTGGTTTAGACGTAAAAATCTAACCAAAAATAACGTATACAATATACTGTTTAGACGTAAAAAATCCAATCAAAAATAACGTATACAATATACTGTTTAGACGTAAAAAATTCAATCAAAAATAACGCATACAATATACTGTTTAGACGTAAAAATACATCCAAAATTAATGTATACAATATACTATTTAGACGTAAATTCTGTATTTTTTTGCATATGAAAAAGGACGATTTTAAGTATCTAATATACAGAAATATTTATAATATATTATAAAATCTTACCAAAAATAACGTATATAATATACAGATTTAACGTATAAAATTTAACAAAAATTACGTATATATTATACTGATTAAACATATAAATTCAGTATTTTTTTGCATACGGAAAAAGACGATTTTAGTATCTAGTATACGAAAATATTTACGAATTTATTATACTGTTTTTCTTTGTTTATTATACATTTTTTAAACATATTATTTCGGTATACTTTCCTTATACATATTATTTATAGGGTTAAGATAAATCAAATCTACAAATCAGGATAGTGATTTTGGAATTTTTACTATTTATTTTGCTTTTTTTATTAGAAATAAACTTACTTACTTATTAGTTAAGATATACTACAAATTGAGTCTCTTTTGATTATTTTTTTTTGGATGTTTACTTTTTTTTTTAATTGAAATGGATTTTTTTTCTATTGATTAAGGTAAATTTACAAATTGAGAGTATGATTTTGGGATTATTACTAATTATTTTCTTTTTTATAGGAATAAACTTTTCTTGTTTATTGGCTTAGGTAAATTTATACATCAAAACACTTTTGGTATTATTTTTCAGGTTTTTATTAATTTTTTCTTTTTTAATAGAAGTTGACTTTTTTCTTATCAAATATATTAAATGATTAAATTTAATAAATTTGTAACAATCAGAATTATTATACTTTCTTATAATTAAATATATTATATTAATATAAAATATTTCAATCTAAAATTCTTTTATTGTAATTTATTAGGATTATTTACTTATATAAAATAAACAATTATAATATTACCTATATTATAAAAATTTGATAAAATGTTACTAATCAGAATAAGTTATTTGTATTATATATTAATTTAATAAGTATCAATAAGAATATCCCTATTGATAACTTAGTAATAACCTGATTGAAAACTGGATGTTAATAAATTGATATCAATAAGAATATTCCTATTGATATTTTTATAATATTCTGATTGGATTCTTATTGTTTCCTATCTGTAATATTATTTATTATTAATTACGATCACCTGATTCTAAATAAACAAAAAAATAGGTAACTAATCTAATCAAATCTGGTAACTCAGATTTGATCTGATTTGTCATATATTTATTATCATCTGACTAGTAAAATAATTAATAATATAAACTAAACTAAATATATCTATGAAAATAAAATTAATATGTTACTAGAAAATAAAGTTACAAAATTGATTAGCAAGATTATTATATATGTTAATAATGCATGTTACAATGAATATTAAGTTTATATTGATTTATATTGATTATCAAGGAAAATTAAATTAATTAAATTGACTTCAAATCTGCAAGATGATTTATAAGGAAATAAATTGACATCAAAATCATTAAAAATTCTCTAGATAAATTTTTATCCATCATAATATCTAGCAAGTAAAACTTTTATAAAATTTTGAATATCTTTTCAAAGTAGTATATAATTGATAAATTCTTTGGTTCTAGAAATTCTTTGATATTTATAATCTTTTTAGAATTGGATTGAAATTCTTCTTGTCTAACTTTAGTTCAAAAAAAGTAAGCTAAGATTGATAAAAATAACATTATTTTTTAGTTTTATTACATAATTACATGTTTCTTAATACTTAGAAAATTTGCTGAATTTGATTAATATATAGTTCAAATATTCCTTTTGTATAGATGATTATATTATTCAAATAGACTGCTATGAATATTTTAATGAAATCATTTAAAAACTAATTTATTAATTATTAAATATGCCTAAAACATTATTTAATCTGATAGTATAGTTTGTGTGTAATAAGAAAAGCAGTTTTTTCAATATCTTTAAAATATATAGCTACTAACCAATATCTACTAGCTAAATTTAATAGTAAATCAATATACTTCACTTAAAGATTCTAATAGATTATTAATTCTTGGCAATAAATATTTATTCATTTATGTTATAGCATTAAGTTTTCAGTAATCTTTACAAAGTCTTTTTTCTTCTTCTTTCTTTCTAAATATAATAACTAATGAGACTTATAGGTTATAAAAATGTCAGATTATACTATTTGTTTCCATTTTCTTTAATTCTTTGTTAAGAAATTTAGCATTTTTTGGATTGTTCAATATGGTAATTTAGCAATTATTATTGCATTTTCAGTATAAATATAATGTTTAATTTCTGTTATTCTTTTAATTCTGTTTGACTTATTGCATAAATATCAGCATATTTAACTAGAAGCTCCTGAAAAATTGTTGTTAATAATAATCTAATAGTCTTATTTATTCATAAGATATAATTTTCTAATTATTACATATTCAGCTTTTCAGCAAGAAAGATTGCTGGATTGATTCCTTAGAGTTGATTTCCATTTTTTAATCAACAGTATCTTCTTCTGCCTTAACTTCAATTTGTAAGTCTTGATTTATCTTTTAAATTTGTTTTATATTTGTATCAAATTTTCGGAAATATAAATCCGGTTTTAAAATGACTTAAGTTATATTTCCCTATATTATTTATTATTGTTGCGCATCAGTTTAAAAGTAACTTCACTAAAACCTATCTTATTATAAAAAAAAGTAAACTTCGTAATTTCATATGGTTATATATATGAGTATAGTAATTTAAGAAGAATAGATTTAATGCTCCTTAAAATATTATCTGATAATGTCAAGCTGATAATATTTTTTTCCTTTAAATTATTGAAATTTTTTTTTATCGTTATTTGTATAAAAACATTTTGCAACTACAACTGTAAGATTATTAAGATTATTTTTGGAATGCTGTTTAAATTTTATTAAAAAATCCATTGGTTTATTCCATATCATATTTGAAACGAAATAACTCATTTAAGAGCTTATCAAGTAAAAAAAAAAAGTCTAAAAAATGGAAACGTATGTAAAATTGATAGAGGAATATATATATAACCTCTACACTTTAAGATTCTGGGTTCCCGCATAAGTTTAATATATATTTTTAATAAATATTCAATTATCAAATTATCATTAGAATGTAAAATATAATGCCAGTAAAATAAAAATCTTCTCTATAACTGGCAAATTTATTGGGACTTTTAGGATCGTTTAGGACCGTTTAACATCCCTACATAATTCTATCAATTCTATCGAAATTTTCTATATATCTGTGATTTTTTTGGTACAGTTAAAACCCGTTAATTTGTCAGATTTTTTCTTGATATACCTCAATAAAAAAATTGATGTTAGGTTAGGCGATACTTGGTAAGCTCAACATGTTTCAAATTTTTATCACAATATAAATAAAATAATGATTGATTAAAATAGTTGAGTACGTTCAGTTTTAACCGATTGAAAGGAGGCATTATTATTTTGTTATATAAATCGATAATCAAAATCCTTACAAATCAGAGATATGCAAAATGGTGTACACTTTGATAATTAAGAAAACAAGTGAAAGCTAATGTTACCTCCTAATTTCGTACGGAGGTGTTTATTAGTTTTTATTTTATTTATGTAGGCGATAACAATGCAATGCAAATGGGACGAATGCAGATCATTGAACATTTCTAATAATTGAACTTAAAGAATATGAAAAGAAATTTTATTTAATATAACTTATAGTTTCGACTATTATTACCTCAGACGGTGCTCTGTAATAGGTCTCAAGAGAAAGGAATAAATCCAATTTACGGAATATTTCAAGCCAAACAAACTCATATTTATAATATTCTTCTTCTCATGGCTTTATATGGATTCTTCTTAAAAAATATCAATTTTTCGCTTATGATTGGACATATAGACAAATTAATTTGATCCTGAAGTCAGTAAGGCCCGAATTGCCAATTTGTCCAGACATTCCAGATAGGCAAGAAAGGTCAGTCAGAAAGTACAAATGCCAGACCTTCAAGTGGCATTGAGATTAATCATAATAACTTACTTTTTAATAATTTTGAGTTAATCAGGACCTCTCTTAATTGATTTATTAAAATATAATAATTATGACTCGAATAATTGACTCGATCACAAAGATTCTGAGTTAATTCACGAGTCACGAGTCCATCATTAATCCCGTGATTTTGGTTGTCATCCTAAGTCCTCCGCCATAAACATTTCCATATATAAAAACCACTGTAATATCAAACGTAACTCGCATTTATCTATGGGAAAATTTGGTTTTGAGGACATACATACGATACGAGCCCACCTTCATAGAACCAAACACTTCGGAGGAGTAATTCCATTGAAATACTTAATATAAAGGACATCTCTTTGATCTAAACGTCGTCGCAAAATCGAGCAATGACCCAAATGATCACTTTTCAAATGCCGAATACAGAATAAATACCCAATGAAGCCCCAACAGAAATAATAATTAATTTGAGGCCTTGGAAAGTATGTTCGAGATGTATATAAAACTCTTGAATGAATGGTTTGTTCCTTTCTATATATTCTTCGATAAATAAATTTATTTTTTAAAAATCTCGTAAATTGATCCATCGTAATCCAATTTTATCGTGACTTACAAATGAGCTGATACCTCGATCGCTTCTATCATTCTATCTTCCAAAAATTTTCTAAGCGAAAACTTTAAAACCAAAAAATAATTTCACCTAACTATGACCTTGTATCTCTTGTATCTACACGTTAGTATAGAATTTCAAGAATTTCATAATATGACCGATAGGTTTAGTATAGTATTTAATATTCTCGATTCATTTTTTTTTTTTTTTATTAGACTGAATTTTGATCGCATATAAAATTGTGATGCGATCGGAATATGAATTAAAAGAGATACCCAAAAAATTGGGTGACTTTTCTGATCAGCCGATATGATTATGGATATGAAATTAGGCGTATAGATTTTAAAGTTAGCTTATCAGGTATCGTATTTAACGTAAGTGAACCTTAAGCGAATGTTATTTATTATTTTATATAACTAATAAATCTTCAATAATAAAATTTACTAGTAGACGATACATAATTTTAATAAACATAATAAATACTCAATAACTCAAGAATTGGATCACAAGTACATGACATGTTTAAGTGTTTGCTTAATCACAATTAACATTTTAGTAATGTCATAAGCGTTCTAAAAAATACGTATTTTATTAATCAAATCTGAATTAAAAATATAAAATTTTACATAATCATCAGGTGAATCTGAAAATAGAGTCTAAATATTGTGATATTGAGATTAAAAAATATTGATAACTGGTAAACTGTAATTAGGGAATCATTTACATAATAATATGCTAACATTAAAATAGATTATCAGATTTCCTTAACCAAAAATTATGATGACATTTATTAATCTGATGTAAACAATCTTTATAAACTCTCATGATCAAATGCAAAAATATTCAAACCTTTAATAATTGATGTCTAACATCAGTATTAGTTTATATATAAATATATCAATATTTCATTAAATTACCTTTTAATTGTAATAAGCTAGAAATTTCTAATTCATGTAATTGAGAATCTTGAAATGTTAAAATGCATTAAAGTTGGTATTTTATATTTTATTATCGTATCGAAAATAAAATTTAGAAAATACCTTCATTATTTTCATTTTTTTCAAGATATGAAGTAATAAAAGACGAATTAATAGGTTTTGTCAAATTTTTAAACACAAAAGCTCTGCTTGTATATACTGCATCAGGATTTGTTTTACGTGAAATTGTAATATTTGGTATCTCTTTATCAGCTTCTTCAAATGCTTCTTTCATTTCTTTTCCATAATATCCATATTTTTTAGTTTCTTTATATGTCTCATAATATTCAATAGAATAATACCAAAAGCTTAATATTCGTCTTAAATCTTCACTCGTTGGTCTTTGATTTGGATTTGCATTCATACACCTATAAGCTAATTTCTTATAAAATTCAGGAGTTCCTGTTCCAAATTCTGGACGAAGTCCATTACAAATATCTAAAGCTAAAGACACATCATGTTTTCTATAATAAAAGGGGAGTTTCCAGTTGATAATTCAGCAATAATTACACCAAAACTGTATATGTCAGAAGCTAAGGTATATGATTCTCCATTCAAGACTTCTGGAGCGATATATGGTAATACTCCATATATTTTGTCATTCGATCCTTGCTTATTTGCTGGTCCTGTTAATCCAAAATCTGAAACATAAGAAGCTTCTTTATCTTGCAATATATTTCCACTATGAAAATCCTTATGACAATATCCTAATTCTTGTAAATTAGCAAGGTCTGCAGTAATATTCCATAATTTATGAATTTTTTCTTTCCATAAAATATTGTTAAAATTATTTGAAAGACAACTTCTCAAATTTCCATTAGGTAAAAATTCCACGATCATAATAAATTCTTTGGTTTCTGGATCCTTAGTTATTCCATAAAATGCTAATGAGCTATTTTCTTTTTTATAAATATCCCAATGTGCTTTAAGCTAGTTATTGTAATAAATTTAAGCTATTTAAAAATATTTTATTTAATAAATATCAAATTTAAATGTAAATTAAAATACCTCATTAAAATAATTAGCTGACATGTTTTGAGATTCATTTAACCTTTTCAAAGCAACCTTCATAGGTTCAGGATCTGATTTTTTCCAACTTCCATCATTTTGTTTTTCAAATTCCGATTTACCATCGATCCATGTTGCAGAATACACTTTGGCGAATCCTCCTTTACCAATTTCTTTTATATCTGTGAATCTATCAAATGGCACCCATTCAAGAAAACGGCCATAAACATAATGTCTTACATCATATATAGTATCTTTGATGAATTTATCAATTTCAGAATTTCCACTAGTCCATCCTTCACAAGGGTCACATTCTTTACACCATAATTTCTCTGTAAATGGTTTATCACAATAAGAACATTTATTGTTTTTCGAGACATTTAATTTGTAGAATTCAGATTCTATTAGGTCTTGAATTTCATTTTTATCGCTATTTACATCCATTATTTTCTTTTTAAAAAAAAGAAAAAAAATTTTTTTGTAAGTTCAAATAAGGAAATATATGGAATTATATGACAAATTTGGATCAACGGGAAACACAAATCAAATGATCGCATACTGCAGTGCAGTGCAGTAATTATTAATGCTGGCCAAGCTCTGACTTTTATTACTTTAGCCCAAAATTTAATTATTTTAAATACCGAAACGATGGAACACTTCTAGTTGAAAATCCTTAATCACTACAAATTAATAAACACACGCAACACATTTTTTTAAATTTTTTGATATTTCACTCTTAAATTTTGACAGCGTCTAATTAAATTGCTATGACATTTGTAAAACTTGACGAAACGATTTCGTTTTTTTAATAATGTGCGAATAGTTGTTACAGGACTTATATTTAAGAAAGGGCTATTGTGCAAAAGTGGTTCAGCAATTCAAAAATCATAAATAATATAGGAAGTCATGTGATTTCTCGCTTCTCATAATCACAAATTGCTACCGATAACGTGCGTCAATTGAAAAGTAGGGTTTTTAAATTTCGATTCCACAACTTACAATACTTAAAAAAAAACAATGAACAAAATATTTTATTAAGCAATAGATAGTTAATATGTAATTAAAGAAAATAGCTAATTTACTTATGAAAAATTTACACAATTATCTAAATCTATGATTATTCTCCCCCGGAATATACCTCCAAAGATTTAATTTTTACGAGAAATATAGTTTTATTACATTAACGCTATCTGTACTGTCATTGTTCGCTGCAACTCCATAGTAATGCTCCGATTATCCTATTTTTTTTTATCTGTATATTATTTTCATATATTCTTATTTACTATTAGTATGATTTTTATAATTATGCGTTACGAATCTCGAAATCTAAAAGACACAAGATTCCGATGTCAATGGCCCGAAAAATCATTTATTAATTCTAGTTTCTTTTATCGCAAATGAATTCGAATGCCATGTAATACATGAAAATTATATAACTTTAAATTTTTTATTTAAATCAAATATTTAAATATTCATTTTTGGGGGGCTTCTTAAAATTCTTCTATAAAATCGCTTTTCATAAAATATAATATATCTTAAACCTTAGAAAATGCCTTGTTTATATTTTCAACATATTAACTAGCTCAAACTTTAAATAAAGTTCTAATAATTCAGTAAGATTTTGCTGCGGTGGATTATTTGTGCTTAAATAAATAACAAATTAGAAAGTATATTTTTGTATTTGAAACAGACAGACTAAATTATTAAAAGTCCCGATTATTTATTAAATAATATTAAGTTATGGAAGGGAACTCAACACGGTATTTCATGTGATGTGAAGTAATCATTTTTGGACATTTATCAAATTGGAAATATAAACTTATACATCATACCTGATGATATAATTCGTGGAATGAAATGTAATACTCAAAAATCTGTAAAAAGATATCTAAAATAACCTGAAAAAGTACAACAAAAGAATGATAGGTAAGACGAATTCCTCCTATTCATATAATTTTTTTTGCAAATTTATGAAAACTACAATGAAACTACGAACATATGGGTCAAATGATTCATCATATTGGAGAAAATTTCTTTTTTGATTAAATTTAAAAATTTGAGAAATAGGGAGCGTTGTCACATCACATATCTTATCAATATGGAACGGGGACCGTTGCTAAGTCCGAGCTTGTATAATGGAAGTAATCAATCACGTATCGAACAAACTTTTGAGCGGGCGAACAGACTTTCTTCTTTAAGTTGCATAGACCATAATAGTCCTTCGGACTGATTAACGCATTTACTCACTCAAGATTTATTATTCTTGAAAAGTAAAAACGATCGAGTTAATTACATTGGCGGTTTATCACCGAAATGAAAAATGTAAATTGATACTAGATTATACACAAATTATTAGAATTTTCACTTAAAATAAATTTAGCTTCACATTGATCACTTAAGGATTCGATACATAAGGAATTCTATAACTTTTTTCATGTAAAATTCTAATAATAAATATAATTAGTGTTTCGACTTTGTCAATTGTTTAAAACTTCAAGATTTTGTTGACCATATTTATTAGTAGAAAAGATATATCTATCGACTTTGTGTAAACAGTTTTTGCGTAATAAATGAATATCGTTTCGAAAACCCTAATAAGCAATTATTAAATGGCAAACTTACATTTACATACATTATTAATACCTTTTTAATTAAGTCTAATACGGCATTGATAATTGCGTTATGATCAAAACATAATTAAATTATAACGTGTGTTGCAAAATTCTACATTAAAATCCATTTTTGTCTTATAATAGTTATTTAAACAGGCTCCTTGACAATTATAAAAAGGAAATTAATTTTTTGTATTTTGATTTATGATTTTTTCTTAAAATTAGTTTTGTTGATAAAGTTAAAACTTCCATTCGTTTCAAAATCGTAAATCCATTTAAATCTTTTTCGTTTAAAAATGCCTAGACATTCCACCCATTTCCCATTATCTCCCCAAGCCACTATCCACCGCCAAAATGAAGATGAATATTGGTTTGAACCGAAGGTACTATTACTCCCTTCATCATTCCGACGAATGATGATGTTCTGAGAACCTGTAAGGAGAATTGTCATAAACCACCGACAGTTTTCATAATTTTTAGAAATTCGGTACAGAGATGCATGAGATTGTTCAAAAAAATATGTTTTCTCAAGTCTCAAGGGTCGCGACAGATTTTTGGAAACATGTTAAAGAACATGAGCCAGATTAGCGTGAAATTTTTCAGAGTCTTTTACACTAAATGTAATGATGACATTAATCTCCTCTGAAGAAACACAAATTACAAGGGAATTGTTTGAGGATTTAGCACCTATTCCCAGATTTAATTATTTCCTGGGAAACCCTTCCTACTAAAGTATGAGTTAGAATAAAAAATTGCTGCAAAAAATAAAGTGAATTTTTTTATTATTATTATTTATGATTATGATTTATTTTTATTTATTTATGTATCTATATTTAATATTAATTATAATAATATGCTGTCCGTACCAAGTAAATTTGTTATTTTTTTTTAATTAAAATTCAATTTTTTTAAAAAAAAATTTAAGTATTAAGCTTATACAGTACAATATGTCTTAATTCACATAAATCATAAAGTAAATTTATAAGCAAATAAAGTTGAAACAATTAAAATAACCTGCACATACAGTACTTATCGATATATGATAAATTGATGAAAATTTAATGATGTTACTAACCAAATTAGATTGTAAATCTTTTACGATTCATATATATTTAACATTGAATTTAGAATTTGGTAATTTTTGTAGCTTTTATCGCATATAGATATGTTTATAATCATATCATATAAGAGTAAAACATTGTGAAATTATATAGAACCGAGTATACAAGATGTTTGTAAATTTAGGTGAATAATTCATGTTTAAAAAAGCAGACCGATGATAAGATCTTTTACAAAACTTTTGTAAAAGTACTACTCAAATAACATAAATGTGATATTATCATTATTTTGAATTTGGAAATGAGATTATGTTGGTGATGGAGAACGCGATAGAAAATGTGATGGTAATGGAATATGTTTTGGTAATGGGGAACTTGACTTTGATTGAGAACGTATTGGTGATGAAAAATTTGATGGAGAACATGATTGTGATATATATACAGTATATATATTTGGTTAGCGATTAATAAGAGTTTATTTATTTATTAGCATGATCATGTGCGACTGCAGAATTATATAGTTATTAGATAGGGGTGTTAGAATATCATCTGAACTAACTAATACTTATAAAAATGTTTTTGAGGTAAAGCTATTTTCTTTTCGTACTTTTAAGATTGCTAATTTACATATTTTTATATTTAGGGTTTATATGACTAACTACTTACTCTATGAAAAAGTTTGTACAGGTTTCGTACTGAATTCGTACAGGAGTATACTGAAATCATACAGCTTTGTGTAGTTATTTCATTTTTCCATACAAAAATAATTGCACAGAAATTTTAACATAGAGAAATCGTACAGAAAAAAAATTTGAAATTTGAAATATATTAAAATTGTGCTGAGATTGTATTGAAAATTAAAACATACAGATTTTGTATTGTTTAGTATTTTATCGACGTATGGAAAATTTAATATTACTATAACAAACTGATATTTAAAGCCTTTCTTGGCGTTCAAAGGATTATACAGTTGATTTTCCTAATTCAGATATTTAGGAAAATGTGCTAACAATAAGGTACTAGGGTTATTTCACGTTTTGGCACCCTGCACATTCCGAAAATTGTAGTATTTTTTTAGCACAAAAGCTACACAAAAACTGTATGGAATTGTTTTCATAGGGTTAACAGTTAAATACTATTGATCTTGGCCGCTTATCTACTAAGACACATTTAGTTCTTTTATCTTGTATTTAAAAGAAAAAAACCGTTTGAATATATTATAGTTATATTTTCAAAGTTAAAATTATCAAGAGACAGGTCTTACAGTTCTATAAAATCCAAAGTCATAGGAATGCAGTAATATATAAATTGGGACTTTGTGGACATATAACTTTGTTCAATATTATTATTTATTAAATTATAGCGATCTATAAAGTGATTATGGATTGTTCGATGATAATTGCTTTTTTTAGAACGCTTTCTTTATAAATGAATCTTTTCATAATTCTAATTGAAAGATGCTTCATATTGTCGTTCAAGAATGATCTAATTGAACGATACATCGTCGTTTAAGAAAAAAAGATTTCATTTTAATTGAACGATTTATAATGTTTTAATTCTACGGTACATTATTGTTCTATATAAATGATACATCATCATTAAAATGTACGATTATTTCAGGTCTATTATCCATCATTGTTCATGTTTAGCGATACATTTAATTCAAGAAGAATGATTAGAAAATTTAGTTATTGTAGTTATTGTTGAAACGATTCTTTATCATTCAAGAACTATTAATTATTATTGTTCATCTTGACTTTTGTGGTATTAATTATTTAATAGACCAAATTTTTACCTGAATTTTAATAATATAACTGGATAGTAGGGCACTTCGTCCCCACCCAACTTATCTACCTATTTATAGCAGTGCGGTTTACAAGAATCTTTTATAAATACTTACTTGAAATATATATAAATAGTTTGTTTTTATATAAAAAGTCTATAATTTGCAGTTATAAAGTGGTTTCGTCCCGAACGGAATTATTCTTATATTATAGAAATAGAATTAAAATAGAATTTAATTATATTTGATTACCAAATTCCAGCTTTTTAATATATTTTTTTTATTTATAAGTTTTAAAGCCTTTACTTCTAGTGTAACAAATCTATCCTTTTGCAAGACTCGATATTTTACTCAATTGCTTCACTCAAAAATATTTTATTAATAAAAGTTAAATTTTGTATTTTACAATAAAACTTAAAAGCTTAATATTTAAGCGACAAAATTCATCTGATACGAATATTCTTTTTTATGAAATTGCAATGAAAATAATGAAAATGAAAAAATTTAAACTGTAAATTTGAAACATCAACGTAACCATTTTTGCTGTTTCACATTATTTTTTTTTTTTATATACTGTACAAAATTATTCTTTTTAGAAGCCTCAAGTTGAATTTCGTAATGAGCAATTGGTGTTTTCGATAGTAAAAAAAGATTTAAGAAGAAATCTGTGAATTAAATTTCTTTTTGTATATTGGTTAAAGTGTATTTTGAGTTACATGCGGACTAAAAGTTTATTATGCATGACATGATTATAAATCATAAAATCCCCTTTTATTTATTTTTAATATTATAATTATATATAGAGGATTTTGAAATTTCGTAATAATCATCAATTAAATCACGTTAACATTATTTTTTTTACGAATTATGCATCAAAGTTATTGCAAACAAAATTAGATACTAAATATAAATTAATTGAATGTAAAGAAAAAAAAATCTATTAACGAACTTTCCCGTAAGACAATTCAATCTTTAATTCAATCGTAGACACAAGTTTATCAAATATACAAAAATTTATTCTTATTTATTATGATGGAAAATAATTGAGTATGTTCTATATGTTTTGTTTAAATTTATTGGAATTTGGGCGTTATGGAAAAGGAACCGTCCATTACTAAATCAACTAAACGTATTTTTTAATACTTAAGAAAAAAATAATATTTTTTTATAGAGATTTATTTTAATATTTGGTAATATTAACTTTTTTTTTTGAAAAATGAAAGGTTTTAGGTCAGATTAGGTGATAATGAAACAATTGTAAGGAATTTCTTATAAAGACACATTTACATTTGACAAGGAGGAACTTGTGTTTGGGGACTTCGTTCCCAATCAACTTATTAATTTACTCTCTTGCAGTCTGTATAAAAGAATTTATTAATAAAAAGAATATTTAAATAATTCTAATTTTATTACTTTAATAAACATTAAAAAAATAAAACTTTCAATGATCAATTTTTTTAGATTTGTTTTTCTTTTTTTTTAGAAATTATTTTTTTTTAGATTTCTTTTCTGTTAAACCGATGCAAATTCTTAGGTAAGTTTTTTATTTTATTCTATTATGATACGTTATATTTTTTATTCTTTTTTTGGTTTTTTAGTTCGTTATTTTTTATCACATTTTTTAGATCTCCACTTTATTTATTACTGCACCCCTGGTGATAAAACATTAAAAAAAAAATGAAATCATGCTTTTAATGAAAATAATTTTTCAATAAAAAAAATCTAATATATTTTAGCATTATAAATTTGAAATTGACATAATGTTTGAAGCAAATAGTCAGATTATCATCCTGTACGTTTAAGTATTATAATCTTATTCTATAACACAAGGAACATGATGCATGTTGGTTGTATTTGTAATGTTGGAGATTGTGGAGTTGGTGGTTGTGGTATAAATGAGCATGTTGAATGAGATGGTTGCATTATAGGAGATGGTGGTCGTGATAGTGATGATGATAGTATGTAGCTGCTGTAGTTATTACTGTATTTGTCATTGTTACTGCTGTTCTAGCTGTTCTTGTCATGTTGTTTTTGATGTTCTTGCTTTGCTGCTTCTGTTTATGTTTCTGTTACTTTGCTGTTGCTGTTGTTGTTTAAACAGTTTTTGCTTTTAATATTAATTTAGCTTATAAATACAGCATTAAAAGAAATTCTTTGACAGACAGTTTCATTATTTTCGTTATTACCTGACATTATGAAAAAAGAGGAACTAATTTTTTTTTCACTTTTTTTTTTTTGCAAATGAAAGGTAGAATTAATCATAATATAATAGGTAATTAAATTCAGGAAAAATCTTATACCATTCACATATTTAGCCGCAATTCCTTTTACTAGTAAATTACCTTGTTTATATTTACATTCAATCTCTATTAACGCGCCTCCGGAATCATGGAATCGATTGAATAAGAATTAAAGGTAAATAATGTTTATTTTTCTTTTTAAAAATATTAAAAGTAAAAAAAAATAATCTATTAAAATTATCAATTACCTCACTTTGTAGATTACTGAAGGCCTCTTGATCTTATTTCATTTTATATAATTAAATAAATTCATTTACTTACCTTCTTTTGTAGATGCTGAAAGTTACTTTGGAATCCTGAAATACATTTAATTAATCGAAGGATTAATTTTATTTTTTCTTTTTAAATAATTAAATTAAAATATAATTAATCCTTTTACTTACCTCTATTTGTAGGTTGTGAAGCTTTTTGGAATACTGGAATCCCGAATTGAATGTGAATTGGAGGTAAGTAATGTATTTTCTTTTTTAAAAATAAAGTAAAAAAAAATTAGTATCTTCACTTACCTTTCTTTGTAGGTTGCCGAAGTCCTGGAATCAGATTCATTGAGAATCGGAGGTAAGAATTTTTTTTTCTTTTAACGTTAAAAGATAAAAAAATTAAAATCTTTTAATTACCTTACTAAAGTTTTCAGAATCCTGGATTTTGGATTGAATGAGAAACAAAGGTAAGTAATTTTTTTCTTTTTAAAAATATTAATATCTTTACTAAGCTTTCTTTTTTTCTAAACTAAAAACCAAATTTGAGTTTTGACGCTTCGTTCTTATCCAACTTATTGATTTAATCTAATTATTATTGAATTGCGGTTTAAAAGAAATCTTTTATTTATAAAATAAAAAAAAAATTATTACTTCAAATAAAAAACCATAAATAAATTTTAAAATTTAACAAATTTTTTTTAACTGTTAAAATATTTTAAAATAGATTATAGAATTTAAAACTTTAAGTAAGTATATCATTTATTTTATTATGTAAAGATTTTAAAAATAATTGCAACTTAATTATAATTTTATTATTTAGTACAACTATAATGTGAAATATTGAAAATAACGGTATCTCATGAATTTATTTTACACTGATTATTAATGTTAGATAAGAAATTTTATAATAATCTTTATTTTTTCAACTATATCTAATTGAAATTTTTTTTAAAAATAAATTATCAGAAAGTATAGTTATTTGCATATATATAAGTATACTGTGAGAATCATCATCATTAAGTTATAGATAATTATCTTTATCTACATCTATATTTTTGTATTTTGTGATCTATAAAATAAAATTTTTCAAAAAGCTTAAATTGAATAGTTTATTTTAATGTATGAAAAAATAAAAATATATACATACATGATTTATAGTAAAATATATGATATTTTTCAGAATTTTATTTGTTATAGTTATTTCATGTTTTAGCACCCTACATAATAAAGAAATCCTTATTTTTTGGCATAAAATGACATAGTAGTTGTTTATAGGATAATAATTGTCCAAAGCATAGCGAAAAACACTTTACTACTATGACATTCAAATGCAAGGTCATTCTGTTTATCCTAATTTGGCAGCCTGTTCACCCAATAATGTTTTATTTACAAAATCTGTTGCTTTTTTGTGTTACTAACCACTATTTTTATTTTTGTATTACAAGTTAATTAAATTTATATTTTTAAAGTAATTATGTTACAAAATTTAATTGTATTACAAAAATAAATAAATTAAAGTTTCATATTAATCAAACTCGTAAAACTATGAAATTATAATAATAAACATTTAAAGTTTTTATTTAATTAATCAAACTCTCGAAATCACGAAATTATGATAATAAACATTTAAAGTTTTTATTTAATTAATCAAACTCGTGAAACCATAAAATTATGATAATAAACATTTAATTAATTAAACAAACTCGTGAAACTACGAAATTATAGTAATAACCATGCAAATAATAACTATGATTTAAACATTTTATAATTTTAATAAAGTACTTTTTTACATATTGTATTTGATAAATAATAAAAAAATTAATAAATAACCTGTAATATAAATTTTTGTTATCCTGCATGTAAATTTACATTGTCGTGTTTGCCTCATTTAAATAATTGTTTGATAAAAAAATCAAATTTGTCTTTAAACGCTACGCTATAATGCAAAATAAAAGAAGCTTAGTCAATCTGCTGACTCAATTAGAAAACGTAAAAGACGAGAAGTAGAAACTCTTGACTACTATCTACCGAATTCTTTCTACTCCCGCTGCGCCTTACGATTTTTTTTTTGTTTTTCATTTATAGTAAAATTTTGATTATGTAAATTATTTCATTGTTATTAATATAAATTATAAAAAAACGCTATTCAAATATTAATGTTAATAAAAAAATATTAAAAAGTTATAGTCATTGTAATAAGATATAATAGAAACTATTGTTGTAGAAAAAATGACCTAATAAAAACTATTGTTTATCATGATAAAACGTCTTTTTGTAATAAACTATTGTAATAAAACAATATAAATTGTAATAAAATAATATGAAACATCATAATCACGCATCTTGGAAATTTGAATCTGAACAAGGGTTCATTAAATTGAGATATTACTTAACCAAGGAGCGAGGATTTTCCATTTTCCAGAAAAAAAATTTTTTTTGCAGGATATGCGTATTAATTCATAGTGTTCGACAATAATCGATTATATCTAATAAGAAGCGGAGTAATAAATAAATTTTTTTTTTTGACTGATATCTATGAAAGTTGAGTTATCCGGTTAAATAAGTCTGACGTAAGCACCAGACATTTTTATATATTATTTTATTATATATCCCATTTTTAACTCTTCATTACATGCAACAAATATACATTTCATATCAAAAAACTTTCAAATATCCATAGCAAGAATAGATAGTATCATTTAAAGAGCGATATACTGATAAATAATTATGAGTCGGCAATGATTTTAAAGTTACGATGTTAGTTCCCTTTTCATCACATAAATATAACTTAGACGAAAATGATTTATCAATTTATTATTTATACCTTTACTTCTATTATAAATTTCCAATTCAAAAAATCAATTTTCTACAATTAAATAATTTAGAACTTAGTCAATTAAATTTTATAATATTTTCAAACCTTGGTCTGACCCCTTCACAAATTTTAACATCAAGAAATTCTTCCTGAGATAAAAAATGATAAGGTTCGTAAAGAATCTCATATGCTAACATTCCAAAGGAATAAACATCCGATTTCTTTGCATAAAATTTGACTCTCAATACTTCTGGGGCAACATAAGATTAAACACATATATTTTCGATCATCTTGTTTTACAGGACTGACTGTACTGTTTATCAATAGGTTTAAATGATCCAAAATCATTTCCTGATGGTAGTCTTTATGAATAAGTTCATCTTGGTGAATTAATTTTATACCGACTGCTATTTGGTGCAAATATATCTAACTTTGTAATCAAAACTTACCAATTTATTAAAATACTTATCTAAATAATAGCTTCTATTATTATTATATTGCTTAACTATAATAAATTGTCGTTTGTTGGATCTTTGTTGATGCCATAAAATCTTACATTATTAGAATTAGCTCGCGATAGCTTATTATTAAAATAGTTATATAAATAAGGATGTAAACCATAATCAAAATATATAATAATTAAATTAATGAAAAGTTTTTTTGCCTCTTGTAAAAAATCTCTATAAAGTTTGACTTATCTAAATGATTTAATATAACATATATAAGTTTAAAATTTTTTTTTGTTTTCTCTAGAATCAAAATCGTTACTTCTGATATAATATTTTGGATTTATTTCTGTATCTATCTTAGGCAACGAATAATAACAAATGATAAAATATCTGACCAATTCCTCCTCCATAACTTGGATGATATAAAGCAACATCGGCTTTACGTAATCCAATCTTCTTTATATACTGTGCTAAGACCAGCTTTTGCAAGATAATTGATATTTAATAAATTTTCATAAGGCACCCATTCTAAATAATCTTCATGCCAAGTAGAATTTAATTGAATGTTACGTATATATTCATCAATAATTTTGTTTCCACTTGTCCAACCTCTATTTCGTTCAAAACATAGTGCAAAATTGCTTGCATCTATTAAAATTTTTTAATTTAATAATCATGTTAACTATGTCTTCATTTTGATATTTACTTTCAAGAAGGGATTTAATTAGAACCAAATTACTTTAATTGCAAAAAATTGTATTTAACTATTTGTTTTTCCATTAAAGTTTTTTTTACGCCAATATTTATTTACGTACAATTTTAGATATGGCCAATTTGTTATACTTGATAATCTAATTTTTTGATTATTATTATTCAATAATAACCAAATAAGAACATCAACTCTTTAACAAGAAGTATCAGATATTACAACACGTGAGATACAATAGCGCACATAAAAAAATTCAATTAAAATTTTTCCAAGAAAACAGTAGTCAATTTAGTTGTTAAATATTTTTAATAATTCAGTAAGTAACGTTATTTTGATTTTTATATTTATTTACAATTTAATCTTGTCTTATTTTCGTTATTTTGACCATGATAGTTATAATATTTATAACGCAGCAACAAGATTTATATTTTCATTTTTTGTCATGTTACGACAACCGTATTTAGTTACTGATGGCATAATTTTTAAAAATTATGCTATAATCAACTGTCAGTAAATGAATAACTGATACTACAAAATTTCAGATATAATAATTGAATTAGTTTTTTAAATTTTTTTTTTTGATCAAGTTAGAAGTCGGTTCTAGGCTTTTTGTTTTGATTATTACGCGTTCTAACATGTTATGCATTTATCTTGCACGATACCTTCTCGTCGAAGTAATGGACATATTTGGTAAACATTATTGCATAAGCATTACACAATTTGTGCGCATCAAAGAGGTACAAGTCTAACGTCCTAATGTTCCATATTAAATAATTTGTTTTTATAATTAAAAAAAATCATCATCGTTCAATTTGGATTAGTAAAGCTCTTGTTATGAGATTGATTTACTTCCCCCTGTTTTATAAAATTTGGTTAAAGGGAATGTGAAAAATTAATAATTTAAATCTGGAGAAACCGCAGTTAATTAAAATTTCTCCACAGTGATCCTAATAAAGTTTCATATAAGGTGTATGTTTTCAGTGGGGAGGAATAATGTGACGAGATCAAGTAATTGGTCTCCTATATCAAGTGCATGAGTATCATCCATGGGCAAAGAATTTCATGAATCAAATATTTATTTTTCATGCATAAATATCAAGAGGAAGTTTGCCGTAACTAGAAAATACAGTATTATGGGCGACACAATTGTCTAACCAAATTCGAATTCTTGTGAGATAATTATCTACCCCAAGTACAAGTTCAATGAGCCAGTCACGGTTATTCATTCAAGCATCTGATAAGTTAACTCACACCGAAATGACAAAATCCTCTCCTCTAGGTAAAATTAACAATTGTATAGTTCAATATGTCTCTTCCATGTAAGATGATTCAGTTGGCGTAAAATATAGCTTTTGTTTACGGTAATCAAGTCAACACACTACCGATGACGGTGGGTCGCAGTCGAACAAATATATTGGCGCCTTTTTTTGCATGATCATACCAAGCTTGTTAAGGCAATGAATTTTATCATAGTTGTTTGCTTTACTGATTTGGGTGATCATGGAATATGTAAATTAAAGAACGAAACCAATCTTTTCATTATTAGTAACATTTAACAATCAGCCGCCTTGCATTATTGATTGACACACGTGTCACATAAAATTGTTCCATTTTTGTGTTGATATTTCAAAAAAACCCAGTACCATACTAAAGCCTTTTTAATTATTACCTTGTCTCTTTTCAAAATGCTTTTCATATAAATACAAAAATAAATTCTCTGACCGTCTTTCTCTTTGACCTTTATACCAAAAAAGAAGCCCCTTACATAAGATTTTTTTATTTGGGAATCGATATTATATTTTTACAAAATATTAATAAAAATAAAAATAATTTTGTTGAAGAATCAATCTTTGCACCAAAATAACATAAAAAAAGACATCACATTTTTCTCTTTAAATATATTTCGTTGCAAATTTCCCCTTTTTTATTTAAGAAAAAAATTACTTTATTATTTACAGCAAAATACACTTGTATTTTTTTCTTATGACACATCGTGTAAAATGCTAATATATTATCGTTATTATATGGAGGTCATTAACGGTAACGCAATTGATCACCAAAATTCCATCACGAAATGTCACAACTGAAATTTCATTATCGCGATTACGTCCGAGAAGCCAATCGGCCCCACAAGAATGAATAATTTCCACCTTACAATCAATTGCGAATGATACCAACACGACCGCATCTATCGCAAACCCGTCTCAACAAAATGATCCGCAGTAAAGGAGATACAATATTAAATGTGATTGTGGTCTTGAACCAGTTCTTCGGAGGATAAAATAAATACACCAAATAAAGGAAGATTCTTTTAGTCATGTAGCAAATTTGGTGGACCAGATCATATGAGAAGATGTAATTTCTTTAGATGGGATTCTCCAAATGAGAATGAAAATGATGTGAACGAACAATCGTTTTTAGCTCGAAATAGGAATGAGATACCTTACGTCAGTAACGTCGTTGATTTCCTACAATAACAATAACAATAACAATAACAATGATGATAATAATACTGAAGTCAACCTTTCTCCGTTTTCTTAAATTATTCTAGATATTATTAGTAAACTTAGATCGGGTTCAATTTGGTAAATTTTACTTGAAAATTGTCAAATAATCGGTGTTAGCTTAAACGGTTCGTCGTTAAGTTAACTAAGATTATTTGCTAACAGGGAGTTTAAGTTCGTCTAAACTATGG